GCTACGTGTCCGTCACCATGCCCACCCTGCTCCTGGGGCTGTGGGTGGGACCCTACCACCTTTCCTTCGTGGCCTGCATGACCCAACTCTTCTTCTTCATAGTCCTCATCTGCACAGAGTGCACTCTGCTGGCCTCCATGGCCTATGACCGCTACGTGGCCATCCGCCCTCTGCACTACCCGCTGCTCATGCGGCCGCAGGTCTGTGTGGGTTTGGCTCTGACTTCATGGCTGGGGGGGCTGGTGGTCTCGGTGGCCAAGACCACGTGCATCGCCAGCCTGTCCTACTGCGGCCCCAACGTGCTCAACCAGTTCTTCTGCGACGTCTCCCCCCTGCTCAACCTCTCCTGCACCCACGTGGCCCTCACGGAGCTGGTGGACTTCATCTCCGCCATCGTCATCCTCTGGGGTTCCCTTCTGGTGGCGCTGGCCTCCTACGTGGCCATTGGGAGGGCGGTGCTGCGCATGCCCTCCGCGGCCGCCCGCCACAAGGCCTTCTCCACCTGCGCCTCGCACCTGGTGGTGGTGGGCATCTTCTACTCCGTCACCATCTTCATCTATGCCCGCCCCAGCCGCATAGAAGCCATGGACCTCAATAAAGAGCTGTCGGTCATCTACACGGTGGCCACGCCCCTGTGCAACCCGGTCATCTACTGCCTGCGCAACAGGGAGGTCCAGGCGGCCTTCCGCAGGAGCCTGCACTGGTCCTGAGGCTGACCAGGTGGCCGTGGCTGGGGAGACCTCGGACGGCCAAGGCCCTACTTTTCATTGGGACGTGACACACACCACATACAGTGGAACCAGACGTGGAGTGGCTTCTCGTGACTGGCGTCCTCCCTCGTGCGATGTGTGGGGCTGGTGTGTCTCGTCGGGTGCTGGGCGCTCACTCCTTCTCCGGGCTGAGCAGTGATCCTTTCCCTGGCGCACCACGCTCTGATTTCCGTCCGCTGCTGGCGACATCTGGGCCTGTCCACCTTTGGCTGTGGTGACCTGACAGGCTGTGCACACGTGCGCACGAGGGAGGCTTTGAGTGGACTCGTCTCCGGTCCCCTGGAGTTCAGGTCGAGGCGTGCATGTGCTGGGTCGTGTGCCCTTTTCCAAAGCGGACAGTACTGTGCTTTGACGATACCAAGTGCCACGTGAGTGAGGGCAGGTGGGGAGCCACACAGGGGCCTCGGAGCTGGAGCCGGACTCAGTCCTGGAGGAAGGGCTGCTCCTGGTGATCCCGTCATCACCCGTCCTCTGGGTTCCCCCGGGCCGAGGGGGCTTTGGGAAGGGGACGCGCCTGCTCCATGCCCTGCTGGCACCAAGGCCTAGACCCTCTTGGCCACCCGCTAGCATCTCTTAACATCTTTAAATGGTGTCAACACTTTGACCCAGGTATCCGCCTTTGCAAATATAAAAAAAAAAAATCAAATCATTGTCCATAAAAGTAAGTGTCTGAGGCCGTTCAGTGTAGCATGGTTTCAGGTCTCTATTCCCAGAAGGAACGTGGCCACTCACCAGTAAGGGCAAGCTACGGGTGAACTGGGGCACCTCCGCAGTGTGCCACATGAAGTCACTAAAAGAAGAGTCAGCTCTACGTACTGCTGTAAAGCCGTACTCCATTCATACATGAAGATGAGAATTCTAGAATCTAAATAACTTAGATTCTGGAATTAGAAACGTTTAAATAAAAACTAGATGTCTATGTGTCTGTGCATAGGGTTTTCTGAAGGTGTAAAAATAGTTCAAGAAAGGGAGGAGTTTTTTTGTACATTTTAGTAACTTAAGTTGTTAACCAATATTGGTGTAATGTTTGAGAGGGCACGTTGGCGACGTGTGACTGTGTAAATTGTGACTTTTGCACACGGCTGTAAGAATGTTTTGCAAAGGAACATGATGAAGGACGTAGCAGTGGCTCTCTGTTAGGATGTCCACAGCACTGTGCATGTGAGGGACAGCTGTGGAAGGAGCTGTCTGCACATCGATGGGCCAACTAAAACGAGCCAGCTGTCCCCACAGGGTCACCAAGAGTAATTTTATAAATAAACTTATCACCGTGAAAGACATCGACTACAGATTGTGCTGTGGAAAAGTCAGGATAAAAACGGCCAAATGATTCTGTTTTAATTTGAAAATGTGCACATGTGATATTTCATCAAGATGGAACACTTCACAGGTGGTCGTCACTGTGTGGGGACTCGGCAGGCCTAGCGTGGCTGGTCTCTTTGCTGGCAGTTGTCAGTGTCCATGAGCACATACTGCTTTTTGGATAGATTTTCACTTTTTAATATTAAACATGACTTTGCCAGAGACAGAGTGGGGCCTCCTGGTCTGCACAGGGAAGACCCCGGAGCAGCGGCCTCAGCCAGCCACACCCTCCTTCCCAGGTGCCTGCTCCGCTGTCCCCGGGGCTGTGCGAGGAGACCCAGCCCTTCATTGCCCAGCCCAGGGCAGATCCCACCAGGCCCAGCGGTCACCTCCTCTATGGAGTCAGTCAGGCCGCGAGTGCACCCTCCCCTCTGCTCCTGCTCGGGGCCCCATGGGGAGCGCGCTGGGCACACACACAGGAGCTTCCTCCAGTGGTGGAGACCTGGGCCACTCACTGGGGGACGCCCTGTCGCCTGGACCCTCAGGCACGATGACTTCCTGCTCTCCAGGCAGACACAGCTTCTAGAGAACTCTCTGGACTGCAGACCACAAGCCCTTGACACAGACATCAGGGTGTCACCAGGGAGGGACGCAGGCGGAGCTGCTGAGCGCTTCGGCACCTGCTCTGCTGCCGAGTCTCCGCCAGAGGCCCCCAGGTCTCAGGCAGGACCAGCCACTCCGAGCTGTTCCCAGGTCTGGGGACAGGGACGTGCCCCCAGCATGACACAGGAGCATGGCAGCCCCTGCCCACACACGGCAGGACACACGTGGACACAGGACCAGGGGAGAGGAGCAGGAAGGGCCCCAGTGGGGACCAAGAAGAGCCAGGGCAGCAGTCTGGGCCTGAAGCCAGCCCTGGCCTCGGGTGGACCGTGAAAGGAGGCCAGATACCCAGAGAGGGCACCTGAGGATCCTAGAGCCCAGCCCAGGCTGGCATCCAGGGCTCCTCCCCACACTGCAGCTGGGTGCCAGGGCAGGAGCAAGGGTCCTGAGGCCCCTGCACTCCAGCCTGCCCCTCAGTGACTGACCTCTCCTCGCTCACCACCACGTCTTTTCAGTGTCAAAGATGCACCATGGGCTCCATGAAAAAGCTGAACGTGCAGCCGCCATGGCCATGAGGGACGTGGGGAGCAGAGACCTGGCGCCCTTCCTCTCTGAGAGCCTCAGTGCCACAGGCACGTCCCCACCTTGGGCACAGGAGCAGGAGGAACAGAGGTCAGACGGGCTCTGGAGTGGCCATGGCGGCAGAGCCACCACCCATGTGACCCGGAGCTCCTCCTGCCCTCTGTGGACTTCGGTCTCTCTGTTTCTGGGCTCATGGTGGTACCTGTCCCAGCACGGCTGACTGGTGGCTTCCTAAGGCAAAATCCACACCGAGCCCTGCACCCGGGTCGGGGCCCCAGGAGCTGTGCCAGCCGATCCACACCCCTACACAGCCAGCCCTGCCTGTCCTGCCCCCGTTCACCCCACCCCGGCAGCCTGCGGTCCCCAAGAGCGGGGTCTGCAGCAGAGGCGGGAGGAGGGAGCCCCTGGCCAGCTGAGGCTGGTGGAGGCGTGGACTCCCTGGGGACTCGTCCTCTTCCCTGAGTGTACACAAGGTATGTCACCTTCTGTGCCGGCAAAGGTTCCTGCAAAGTCTCTGCACAGCCACCCTGAGCTGTCCACCTCAGGCAGCTTTTGTGTTCCCAAGGCTGGTTGATGCCATAGAACAATCACCCTGAATCCCAGCTGCACCTCAGCCTGGCTGTGTCCACTGCGGGGGGCCAGGTGGGGGAGGTTCTGCCAGCCAGGGGCGGGAGGTCATGTTTCACTCTGACCATCTCCATCAGGAGAGAAGAAGAGGGTAACTAAGTGCTTTGGCCTGGAAGCACCCTCACCAGCCCGAGCCAGGACCCTGGCCTCCCCTGGTCCAGCAGGTCCAACCCTAGACAGAGCTGGAGGGCAGAGGGCTGGAGACACCAGGAGCCTAAGACTCCTCGGGTCTTCAGTGTCCAGACCCGATGGTCACTGCTGTCAGAGTGGGAATTGGCATGTGGTCACCTTGGTGCAGAGCTGCCCAGTGTGTGTCCCCCCACCCACCCTCTGCACATACTCTGCCCCTCTTCTTTGCCTCTGGAGAGATGAGCTCAAGGCACCCAGAGTCACAGCTTCTGTGTATGCCACCACATGCCTCCTGCAGTGTGCCCCAGCTCTCCCACGGCCCCCACTCCCACGGACCCCACTCCCACAGACCCCACTCCCACGGCCCCCACTCCCAAGGACCCCACTCCCACGGACCCCACTCCCACGGACCCACTCCCACGGACCCTACTCCGATGGACCCCACTCCCACGGACCCCACTCCCACAGAGGGCACCAGGACATGCTCCTCCCGGGGCACCGCCTCAGAAATTATTACTTAAAGTAAGTTTAAAGTCATGGGTGTGATGAGAAGGAAGGCCGCCCACTCCTGTTCCTCTTTTATCTTGTGACTTATTTATTGAACTATAAAGGTGACACCAGCAATCCAAAATATCCAGCACATAAAGATTCTTACACACACCTCAACCCCGCCCTCTGCAGTCACGGTCATCGTGGCCCACAGACCTCTGATACGCGCAGGCAACGGCCTCTCCTGCTTTTAACTGCGGGCCCGCGGGTCACCTCCCAGTCAGTCACCACGGGTCTAACTGAGGCCTTCATTCCTGCCTGTTTCTCACAGCAGGCGCACAGGGCATTAAATGGTCTGAGTTATTACTGCCCATTTCCCCCAAAAGTGTCTACTCCCATTCCGCGGTCTCCCTGACTGACCCTGCACCCACGCGCCCTTCTCCACAGGAGGGGCACGCGGGCCGCCTCCTCTCCTCGCCCGTTTCTGCCAGCGTCCCTTCAGCGGGAGTGCTCAGTCCACTTTCCTCTGGCTTTCCTTGCTTCCTCGGGGTCACTACCTGCTTTGAAGCCTGCACCTGTGCTCTTGACCCTGCACTGCCGCGCGCCAGTGGGCTGCAGTTCCCGCGAGACTGCGTGGGGGCGCAGGGCCCCGCGCATCACCGCGCGCACGGCCCGGTTGCGCAGGCAGTAGACTATGGGGCTGCAGGCGGGCGTGACCACTGTGTAGACCACCGACAGCACCTTGTTGAGGTCGGTGGACTCGATGTGGGTGGGCCGGGAATACATGAAGAGGACGACCGTGTAGAAGATGCCCATTACAACCAGGTGCGAGGCGCAGGTGGAGAGGGCCTTGCGACCTGTGGCCGCCGAGGGCATGCGCAGCACCGCCCTTCCGATGGCCACGTAGGAGGCCAGGGCAACTAGGAGTGACCCGCAGAAGATGACGATGGCGGAGATGAAGTCCACCAGCTCCGTGAGGGCCACGTGGGTGCAGGAGAGGTTGAGCAGGGGGGAGACGTCGCAGAAGAAGTGGTTGAGCACGTTGGGGCCGCAGTAGGACAGGCTGGCGATGCACGAGGTCTTGACCGCAGAGACCAGCAGCCCCCCCAGCCAGGAGGACAGGGCTAAGCCCCAGCAGACCTGCGGCCGCATGAGCAGCGGGTAGTGCAGAGGGCGGCAGATGGCCACGTAGCGGTCATAGGCCATGGAGGCCAGGAGGATGCACTTGGTGGCCATGAGGGAGATGAAGAGAAACAGCTGAGCTATGCAGGCTGCGAAGGGCACTTGGCAGGGGCTGGAGCTGAGTCCCGCCAGCAGGGTGGGCATGGTGACGGACACGTAGCACATCTCCAGGCAGCTGAGGTTGCCCAGGAAGAAGTACATGGGCTTGCGGAGCTCGCTGTGGCTGCAGATGAGGGAGACGATGAGGGTGTTCTCCAGGAGGGTCAGCAGGTAGAGAGCCAGGAAGACGGCAAACAGGACGTCCCTGACGCCCAGCCTGGTGGACAAGCCCAGCAGAATAAAGCTGTGGCTGATGGACCTGTTGGCCAATTCCAGAGACCTCTCCATCTGCGGAAGAGAGAAACAGGGGACCCGCCCACGTGAAGGGCCAGGGGACCCCCAGGAGATCCTTGGGACTTGCTGTGGGTTGATCCGTTTGGAGGAGCAGGTGCAAATTTGTGGAACTGGAAAGGGCAACCGTATGCCTGGCTTGCTGAGGCTGTGATTTGGGGCCAGACCCTGAACCTTGAACCTGTCACTGTCTGTAGGGTGGAGGTGACTCCACCCCACACGCTGGGAGTCGCTAGGGCACTACCCAGGCCACAGAGGGGGCGCTTCACCCAGTGGGGGAAGCTCACGTCATTGCTTCTCGAGGCCCTAAGTGGCCTGTTCTTGCTGGACTTCCTTCCTCTCCCCAGAGACTGTGTGTCCTGTCCTAAACAAAGCAGGAGTCCCGGTCATTCTGAGACATGTGCTCTCTCCACTGGGCTAGTTTCTGAAGCAGAGTTGCCTCTGCTCGTTGGAAAGGCACGAGAAGTCATGTTTCCCCAAGAGCCTTCCTCCCCGAATAGTTGCAAAGGCAGCTCCTTCCAGGGAGGAAGGAGAGAAACCGCCCATGCCCAGCTGCAGTCGTGAGCCCAGTTCTGGGCTTTCTAAGCCCAGAGATGAATTTCTTTTCACCCCTGTCCCCGCCCCAGACAGATGGTCTCTATTCGCTGGCTCATGGCAGTCAGTACCTGTTCAAGGGACAGAGGTGCAGGAGCACCGTCCTCTCTGTGCCCTAACACCGGGAATCCAACCTGAGACTCGGCGGGCGAGTAGAATATTTGGGCACACTTGTGACCTTATCACTTGTGTTTAATACCAGAGAGTCACTTAGTATGCGCCAGGTTCCAGGTGCCAGAAACAGCAAAACCAGTGCTGGTGACCTTTAGAAATTTATGATCTAGAGGGAGAGAGGGAGGGAGAGGGGGAGGGAGAGGGGGAGGGAGGGGGAGGGAGAGAGGCAGGGAGGACAAATATGAAAAGAGAATTTCAGAGGCTACATGCCAAGAGAAAGCAAGTCAGGGTGGATGTGTTCAGCCAGGTTGGAGGGGCCTGTTTCAGAGGGGCAGTCAGAGGACACTCGGGGGGGGGGGACTGGAGAGGGCCGGTGAGCTTGTTCCTGACTGATGAGCAGCTGCAGCTGAGCCGTGGGGGGGGGCTTCCAGGCGCATCAGGAAAGCGCAGCCCAGCACCTTCAGGGACGTAGCGAGGGTGCAGGAGGAGGGCCGTGGGGAGAGGGGATTGGGCTTCCTCCTTCCCTGGGCTGTGCCACCTCCATCCGGCACCTTCTAAGCTCCTCGCAGCGTTCAGTTCTCTCCATTACACATTCCCAGTGCAAGTTGAGCTTCACAGGTAAGAAGAGTAACAGGACGGGGCAAAGCCCAGAAACACACCTGCCCACCACAAGCTCTGTGAGGACAGTACTGGACGTGGGGGCGTCTCAGTGACCTGCTCTGGGATAATCCATGCTGGGCCCCTCGCCACCCCAGGACCCAACCCAGCCCCAGGTGGACTAAAAATATAAAATGAAGTGAATATCCCTAGGATAGATGTTTTACGACCTTGGACTCATAGAACACAACATGAAAGTCAGTCACTGAGCCCGCCTTCCTCAAAACTGGAAAACTTCAGTCATCCAGAGAGATTCTGAGTACCACAGCAGTTAAAAGTCCCCTGGAAAGGCTGTTTAGGATACATGTGACAAGGGTCCCTGGGTACACCGTGAAGACATTTACCAGCTGATGTGTAGTTTTCCAGTAGAAAAATGGAGGGAATGCCTGGATCATCAATAATCAAGAGCATGAAAATACGCTCATTTCATTAGGAACCAAGGAAATGGAAACTGAAACTAAAACGAGAGACCGCTGTACACCCAGAGGATCGGCGGCAGGAGTGCAGCTTAACAGAGAGCACTTCCACACTCCGCTTCCAGGAGTCTAAAGTGGCACCGTCACACTCCAAATAGGTCAGGCATTGTCTAGGAAGACTGAACCCGCAGCTACCCGGAATCCACCCCCAGTGTCCACAGCGGTGTCCCCGTGTTACCAGCTAACAGACCTGTCGGTGTCCCAGGTGCCCTGGATTGGGTGGGTGCATTGTGGTCTCTGAGCCCCGCCTAACGTCACCAGAGGTGACGGCAGAGAGCTCCCTGGTGTGCAGGCTGAGCTTCCGTCTGCACAGAAGCCCGTGGGGCTGCTCCTGGAAACACTGGACATGCCAAGCGTCGTGCCCTCTTCAGAGCACAGTGCGCTCGGAGCCTCCAGGCCCACGTCTGTACTGCCCGGCGCAGGCTCAGCTCTGTCCAGGTGGATGGTCCTGTCCAGAGTGGAGTTTGGCTGTGGCCCAGGTGGACAGCTCAGCCCTGCCCTGCCGTGGGCTCTGACCCCCTGGGCTACCCCAGGTGGTAATGTCAGCGCTGTCCTCGGTACTGAAGGATTTCCTGCAGTGACCCGAGCACTGTCCCTCCTGGGCTGGACCACTTCCCTCTCGGGTCCCCTTGGTGGTGGCCCTTTCTCCGCCCCTTGCCCATCTCAACCCTGCACCTGACTTAGCTCCCCCAGGGGTTGCTTGTGTTGTCATTCCCCTATGACGACTCCAGATGCCCAGGTGTCCCTGGTCAGTCTGCTGGACACAGTGGGCAGTGTGGGGACGGCTCGAGGGTCTGAAGCCTTCATCACAACTGAGCTGCTCCCAGTCCCGTGGGAGGTCTGAGGCCCTGGTCTCTGCTGCCCGGAGCAGCCTGGCCAGAGCTTCAGGGCGGTGCTGAAGGGTTCTCGCCTCTCCAGGCCCGGGCTGCCCATCACCCGTGGGCTCAGGATGTGCCTTGAAGCACAAAGACCACACGTGGTGGCAGCGGGACCTTGGGGTCTGCCTCTGTGGGCGGGGTGCAGAGGTGGGCTCCACTGCTCAGCAGCCCCGAGGCCTGTCACCACGGCCGGCAGGGTGACCGGGCACAGTGACACGGCAGACTCGGCACGGGCAGGCAAACCCGGCAGCACACCTCCTGACACTCCCTCCACGTGCCCTTTCTGCGTCATGTCTGGATGTAATTTAGTCTTTTGGTGTGATTTTTTCATGCTAGTGTTGGCCCAGTAAGTTGGTTTTATGAATCTCAGTTGGAATCGTGCCGTCATCCAGTCAAGGACAGAGATGCAGCCAGTCACAACTGTCCCCTCTGTCTGCAGCTGGCCTGTGACCTCAGACGGCACCTCCGACCTGGAGCCACAGGGAGACCGCCTGCTTCCTCCCGCTGTGGGGGGCTGGCCCCGCAGGTGGCCTGCAGGAGGGCGGCCTTTGACTCCTCTCTCTCCTCCCCTAAACCAAGCTGTCTTACTCTCTTACCTCCCAGCTACCGTGAGGTAGCTCCTGCTTTTCCTTCCTGAAGGAAATTCCAGAAAGATTCTGCTTCCCGAAGCGAGGTGAAGACGCAGCGCCCTGAGTAACCGGCCGAGGGTCAGGGACTGGTCGGGAGGCGGTGGAAGAGATGGCCGGGGCCTCTGCGGCTCCCTGCGGCTCCTCCTCCCTGATCTCGAGCTCTGAGACCTGTGTTTACAAGCAGCTGTAAGCAGAAGGACCAGCTAAAGCCCAGGAGCTGGGCCTTAGAGGGCCAGCTGCCCTCTGTGGACTTAGACAAGTGAGAGCTTCTCGTGGGGGGGGGGGGCTTGGGAGGGTGACCCAAGGGTCCTGCTGCTCCAGATCAGTTCCCCTGCAGCCAGGATCCTGGCGGGCGCCAGCCCCTGCCTGGAAGCTGAGCTGTGCCCCCTGCTCTCGGGTGGCTCCGGTGCCCAGGGGTTCTGAACAGAGGCAGCGTCCGGCAGCGTTCTGCAGAATGTGGCAGCAGGCCATGTGCAGAGGGAGGCTGCAGACTCAGGGGGGCTCAGGAGGCCCCGCTCAGCCTCGGCTCCTCGGGAGACTGGAGGAGGAGGCCCAGGGGCGCTGCCAGCTCAGAGGGGCTCAGAGAGCGCAGAGCGTCTCCCACACCCTGGCTCGCGCCCAGCTCCCTGCGCGAGCTTCACCCCTCAGCGAGGTGGGTGAGACCTCTCTCCCCCGCGAGCCGCGCCTGTTCCCGGGCGTGTCTCTGGTTTGGAACACTAAGTGCAAATCTGGACGGTCCAGTTCAATTGAGCTATCAAACTTAATGTTATTATTTTCCCTTTTTGCAGTCAAATAAAGCTATTTTTAAGTCCCTGTGCCTGTGACTCCAGAGTAGCTGTGTTCTCAGGAATGGCAGTGCCGCGGGGAGACGATGCTGCAGCCTGGACGGGGGCAGCCGCGAGGCAGGGTGTGCCGCGTCCTTGCCTGCCTCTGGGGCTCACGCTAACATCCCTACCACCCAGGTGTGCGCCCCTGCTCTCCCACTGCACACACACACCAGCACTCTTTGCTCCTGTCCCACCTGCGCCCACAGTGACCCTCTGCCCAGTGGTCACTCACCTCCCCACAGCAAAACCCAGCTCACCCTGGAGATCAGCTCCACCTCCTCAGAGCACCTGTCACTTAGCTCCTTCCTCTCCTCCCTGGGGGAGCTGTGTGCTGGTGCGGAAGTGGCGTGATCCCCCTCAGGTACCCAGAAATCCAAACCAAGCTGCAGAAGTGGCCTGGAAATCCGGAGCACGAGAGCCTGAATCGGAGTTCCTGCTCCACCTTTAAGACTGCGTGTCCCTGACAGCCATCTGTAAGGTGACGGTCATGCCCATCTGGACTGTCTTATAGAGTGAACTTGTGTGCACCAGCACCTGTCATGATCCCAGTGCCCACAAGGTGCCCGGTAAGCAGCGGCTACTGCCTTCGTTAATGCCTGTGAAGTGGAGGTCACCTACACCTCCCTAGACGACGCAGAGCACAGTGGACACAGGAGTCCACCTGGCACGGTGAAGACGCAGGGAGGCGGTCAGCAAAGTTCTTCCCCAGGGCGGAGGCTGCTGGGCTCCTGCCTGGCTCCTGTGACCTCAGATGGCACATATTTGCTCACTTTTCTCTCTCACCACCAAGCTGTGACCTCATCCAGGAGGGACCCTGACCTT